ACACCAAGAAATGGTTTTTCCTCTTGTGAATGCCCTTACACCTGCTTGCCCCTAATTACTGACCCATCTTTGTAAACTTCTTCTTCTTCTTCGCGTTCACCAGCTGTACACTCTGGTGAAAGTTCTGGTTGCTCGTCCACTTCTGAACTGCAGTCCTGCTCCAGAACCTAAGAGTTGCGTGTGCATCAGTTTTACAGATCTGATTCACTTGAATGCAGACTGTTGGTTCCTTGTCTCTCAGGCAGATGCACTCCGACTTCAAAGGAAGCTCCCCAATTAGTCGACTCTTACGACATGCTTTTGGGTAGGCAGTGGGTCTATTCTTGTTTTCCCCCACGATGGGGCCCCGGAACCCACACGGGGACTTTGTAAACTATATCAGTTCTCGTTATGCCTAGTGGCACATGAGGCTTCAGAGAGGACTTTCCATGCTTTCCTGTCCTGTGCAATCTTCAGTGCAGTTTTCCATGTCAAAGATGCCGCACTCAGGTCACTTTCCATCGTTCGTCTCCATGTTGTTTTTGGGCACCCCTGTTTTCTCTTTCCCTCTTGTGTCCATGTGAGAGCTGTTTTGGGCAGGTATATCAGAAGTCATTCTCATAACGTGGCCAAGCCATTTCCATCTTCTCTTGGTAATCATACTGTCTAAAGCTTCTTGGTTTGTGGCTTGAAGTAGTTTAGTGTTTGAGATTGTATCTGGCCAGAAAATTTTGATAATTCTATGTAGACATGTGTGGTGGAAGGTGGACAGCTTGTGTGCATCCTTTTTGGTCATTCTCCAGCATTCCGCTCCATACAGAAGAACTGACAAAATGATGCTCTTTTTGTAAACTATAGCATCTCCTTTATCTGTGTTTTCGTCAGTCTCTACAGCTTCCATCATATATTTGTGTGTGTGTGTGTGTGTGTAGGCGCGCGAGTGTGCGCATGCATTTTACCACCCATTCTTGGTTTTTTTTTTTAAATATTCACAATATGCGTATATTGAATGAACATAAGGGCACAACCGATTACGTAACCACATGTACACAAAATTCAAGATAGGCGTATCAACCATGTGCATCTGTGGAAAGGTGCTCCAGACAGCAGAGCTTGTACTCCATGACTGCACCGAATTTGACACATTAAGGCAAACCTTTTGGCCAGAAAGAACAACAGTGGAACGTAAACTCTATGGACCACTGAATGGACTAACGACGACAGGGAAATTTATACGAGACAAAATTGCTGATATAGACAACTTATTTTAGGCGAACGAAAGACAAAGAATAGAATGAACACAAAATGCTTTACTGATAAAATACAACAACTGCGTAAAATATGGGTGTTTGGAAGGCACAATTTGTGACGCTTTTAAAAAAAGTTCGCTTGTTTTCTCTTTTGCTCTCCACTGTCTTTTTATTATTTTTTTTTTTCATTCTAACTTTGGTCCTCTTACGTTTCCCGGCCCAAACATAGTGTAACTGGTCTTTGATTCATGCTTTTCCACCTGTGACACGGGCTAGTTTATGTTAGAGGGATGTCACTTTGTCTTGTGTTCTCGAAGAGGTTTCTATATTGTGCGTGTATATGCGGCGAGCTACGCAGTGAGTTTAAAGCGGAGCGGAAAATGTTAACGATTCTTCTTCTTCTTCACCAGCTTTAAACTCCGGCGGAAAGTTTTGGGTGTTCGTCCACTTCAGGACTGCAGTCCTGTTCCAGAACCTGAGTGTTGCGTGTGCATCCGTTTGACAGATCTGACTCATTTGTATGCACACTGCTGGTTCCTTGCCTCTCAGGCAGATGCACTCCGACTTCGAAGGAACTCCCAATTAGTCGACTTATTAATCATTAAAGCTATGAATTTTTGGTAAAACTTACGAAAGTCACCCCATCTCGTCGGCCAGATGATTTCTTATGCAATTTTGGGTAGGCAGTAGGTCTATTTTTGTTTTCCTTATAATAGGGTTCCGGAACCCACACAGGAAGTTAACAATTCTGAAACCGTGAGACGTATTCTAGACTCTCTCATGGGACCTAGGCTGAGGCTGTGGTTAGCAGTGTTTGAATTAGGGCCAGTTCTAGATGTTCCGGGGTCGTTAAACACAGAACGCTGTTCGAAGAAAACAGTACAACGTGATACCCCTGTGACGTAGACAAGCCTGAACAGCTTGAATGAAAGGTCAATCAGTGTGCACTTAGGCCCAGAAATCTAAATAATTCACAACAGCATCTGAGGCTGCCATCCCCTCTCAACCCGGAGTGTTCCAGCGCCCCCCCCCCTCCCAATTTTCCTCGCGATCCCTACCGTCCCCGGATCCTCCCAGCGTCCACTTTGGGAAACACTGCCCTAGACTATGGAAGTGTCCCTGAAAATTCCATAAGAAATCATCTAGCCGACGAGATGGGGTGACTTTCGTAAGTTGTACCAAAAATTCATAGTTTTAATGATTTGTAAGTACTATTATCAGATTTATAGACGTGTTTTATACATATATGTACATATATATTACACACAAATACCACACTCATGGGCTTTACAACAGAATATTCAATTCTTTTGTGTATTTTGCGTATACTGTTTCTGTTATTTCCGGTTATCTGTGTATGAGGGACTCCCTGCAAATCCGGAAGTCATACCCCACACGTGTTTCCTTTTTACCTCGGATTTGAGAGACAAGCAGACGTGATTCGTAAACTGGTGAATAATTTGTTGTACTCTCTTGTCGTATACCTTGTTATATGTTTAATTTTACTAGACTAGTATTTTTTAAGAGTGGTAATTAACGTAGAAGAGAGTAATAAATAATTAAGCACATTTAATTATTGATCAATAAATAATTCGTTCCACAAATTGATTGCTGAACTTAAAATGGTTATTTTATTAATTTTTGTCTTTTTTTTCCTATGTAACCTCTCAATTAATTACATTGTTCAAAAACTGGTTTGCTAGTGCTAAAAACATTTTTTATCTATTTTATTTACACGATTTGTTTGTATAATTGCATGATCTGTATAAGTAATGTGGAAAATTAGTGTCACATTGAATTGACACTACCATTTTTTTCTTAAATTGGCAACCCAGCAGCCCTTTAGTAGATTGTGTGCATCGTCCGAAAGCTCATCATCTATCAAGGGATACAGTACGAAATTGTAATCATATTAGTACCAGTATTTGTGTTTCGGGTTTTAAAATATGGGATATATTTAAATTATCTAGCGGATAAAGTTTTGTAGATTTATTACACTATAACCACAGTTCACATGTCAGAATGGCTTTTATCTTCTACTTTCATGCACATATACAAGCTCTACTGCAAATAATTAATCATCTGCCTGCTGTGTATAGTATTGTCTTTTGTGCAATATATATATATATATATATATATATAAATATAAGCATAAAAACACATGGTTTTCAGCAGTATTCCGAATACTGGTCCCAAATTATTCAGTTTAAAAATCCCATTGAGGTGCTCAAGGTCTAGCGACTACGATGTTTGGCAATTGGCGATCTTTTGACAATTTCTGTTACCATGGAAACCGTTCGAAACATGCTTCGCAAATGTCGGCTGGGGTTTCGGGATGGGTCCTAATCTCATGAAATTTTGCGATTGGTGTGATTTTCACCCACTATAAAAAGCTGAAAACGGCGGGAAGGAATCCGATTAACAGCGCATGTGTACGACAGCCAGACGTCCTCTGTTTTTGTTACATCAGTTTGATTGAAAATAGCGATAAGTATTTAGGTTTGGCTTTAACTGTTACTGGTCCTGGTAATGCTAGTTATAATTGAATTCTCCATCCAATTTTACATTTGTGTATAAAATTTCTTTCTGAACAGTGGCTAGGTAGATGTACAGTGACATTTTTCAGGCAATCGCTGGCTCAGCCAGTCTCATCTGCCATATTGTGCAATGACAGTCCAACTTAAACAAAGCCAAAACGATAAGTGCGCAGAGAAAACCTTGTTTCTAAGACGCAAGTTTTAGCAGCTGCTTTCTACATCTCATCTCGACAAAAACCTACATATCTCAGCTCAGAAATGACATACATAAATGAGGTACCATTGGAAAGAGATTGTTTACAGCTATCTAACTGTGCTGGTTTTATTGGTCTAGAGGGCATTTAGAAACCTTTGTCTAAAGTACCTACTCAAGGTCATATAGTTAAAAAAAAAATGGAATAGGAATACTATGAACAATGCTTTGCATTATTATATAATTTCATGTGTGTAGTTTTTATTCCACCTATCACATGGGTAACCCCGGTTTAAATCCCCACCGGGCGATATTTTTTTTAGCCTTTAAAAGCAAGATAGGCACGCTGTGCAAGGTTGCGAAATTTGTGCCGTACGCTCGGTCTTGTGGTTTACAGCTAAGCTGCGAGATGTTCAGTTGCCATGTCACGGATGGGTAATCTTTTTTTCTTCAGCCTTCGAAAGGGCAGTTGGCCTTTTGCACCAACACATAATTGTCAGCAGTCCCAATAAGGCGCATTAAACATGCTTTTTTTTGGTGGCGGTGCATGTTTTTTTCACCCCTGGAACAAGTGGGGTCGCAGGTATTGTGAACAATGGATCAACCCCCCCACCCCTCTTCCCCCGAGCGTAGAGCAAAAGGGCAAAAGCTCGCTCCCCTACTTAATGGATAAAAAACTACTACTCCCTATGGCACTCAGCTTAACATCTAAACATTGCTGACCATCAAACACTTACGACTGAAGTAGTAAATAATAATAATGACTTATGTTTTCACTACATAACCCCTTAAGTGTTTTTCGTTGTGAATAATTTAGGACAGGTATTCGGAAGAGTGCCTGGTTTCTATTGTCTAATGATTTAACTCTAATTTGATATTTGTTCCCGAGGAGTCCATTTTGCCAGGTTTCTATTTGGTAGTCTGAAATAGGTTAAATAAGGATGTTTTACTGAATTGATTTAAATATTGTTAACATTGCTTTTCAAGTTCATAACTAACTAGAATAATTTTGTTTTATATAGATAAGATCACACAAAAATCATGGCTGAAAATTGGGATCCAGAGGAAGTACCTGCTGTTGGAGGTGGTGCAGTAACTGTTGCAGAGTTACCTGAAGTGAAACTATTTGGGAAGTGGTCCACAGACGATGTACAAGTCAGCGACATCAGTTTGACTGTAAGATATTAACTATTATTAACTGCATTCATCGATCATCTCCTGTGTCCTGTAATACAATTACATAATGTAGTCACGTGTGGCTCTAGTCTCCTATCCAAACCAGCGACAATACTGAATCCTGCCATCACTTTAGTCAATGTTTCCATCATCCATTACATTTACACCCGTATAAGGAACATCTGGAAAGGTACTTAACTTATGTTGTATTTTTTTTTAGGACTACATAGCTGTGAAGGAAAAATATGCTAAATTCCTTCCCCATTCTGCCGGCCGCTACCAAGTGAAGCGTTTCCGTAAGGCTATGTGCCCAATCGTGGAACGCCTGGTCTGCAGTCTGATGATGCATGGACGCAACAATGGCAAGAAGCTGATGGCTGTCAGGATTGTCAAACACAGCTTTGAGATCATCTACCTTCTCACAGGAGAGGTTGGTACTTTTTAGTCCTCTTCAACTATATATTTGAAATCTGTTCAATTTACAGAATATTAACTTAACATTCATAGCAAACCAGAAAATTATAAACCTTTGAAATAAGATGTCTAAGATGGGCTGCAGGAGTGACCAGACAAAATACAAATCAGAAATGAGGTCGTAGAGAAACAGCACAGATTCAGGTCCTGAGTAGCTCGAATTCTTTTAACATTTTCTCTGTTATGCCGGTGTGTTAGGAAATTAGCAGATAGGGTGGTCGGTTTTGGACCATTTGGCGGTGCACTGATGTGTGTGAAGGCCATCTGGGAGCGATTGAAAGGTGCAGAAGCTCACATCACGGTTTGAGGAGTGTGCCAGTGGACTTTGTTGATGCTCAACACTCAAGGAAAAAGCACGATGGGTATACAATGTTACTGGTTCTACTGGAATTGCTCTTTGTTTACTGCTGAAGATGACATGCGTTTATGGGAGTGTCCCGGGTGCTATAATTTTGATTCTTTAACATTGGAATTACACAGTGATGATAGACTTAATGACGGAGATGATTTAGGTACATCTGACAAAATAAAGGGCGTGGCTCAAAATAAATTTTTTAAGCTTAACAATCTTCCTCCACACGAAGAATAGCAAGGTAACATTCAGACACATGCATTTTTTTCTTGCAGGTGTGGAAGGAAGTAGTTAAAAAACTTTTTTTAAAAGCAGATCATCTTGTTTTATCTAAAAAGATGAAGGTATGTTGGCCATTAGGATGACACTGATAGCTACTGTTTACACATTTACTAAAAACTAGAAAAGAGTGGTTTGAAAACTGCTGAAATAGCTAAATCAGTTTAAGATAGCTTCCATGATTAGATGATATGTTTGTATGTCTTGTTTTATTCCATGTGTAATCGAACTTAGAAAGCTATTTTTTTTAAAGTCTTAAAATACCAGTGGTTATAGGAGACAGTAGTACCACGGATAGCTAGTCGGGAACATGTAAAGAGAATGCTATGCCATACGAGGCATGTACCAAAATAGATGTAGTACACAGTTAGACCAAGAACAAGATGGAAAGATAATAGTCTACTACAGCATGTCTGTGGACTAGGCGGTCAGCAGAGCAAGAAGCAGAACCTTATTTCTACCCTGACACCTGCAGCAGTTAAAGAATATGAAGTAATTTGAGAACTACTAGCTTCTTACAATAAAGCCTTTTTTTTTAGTCAACAGTCAAGATTTACAGCTTTCTATCTACAGTTTATATCACAAGCACAAAACTACATATAATTAGTCAGCATTGGGGGTTGATCTTGCAGTGTTTGGTAGTTGCCTCCATTCTTTTTGTTCATATGCTTCACTTTAACAGTGCTAGGAGTGAGAACATTTTCTAACTAGTGCCATATTAGATGTTGGTCTTCCTGCAATAACTTATTGGATCTGGTGTAAATGCTAGAAGGTGGTACCAAAGGACAGCCTTGCTAGCCAATGTAAATTCCAGGTCAGACTATAGAGAAAATATTATTAATTATGCTTGTTTCTGTTTCACAGAACCCTCTGCAGATCCTGGTCAATGCAATCATCAACAGTGGACCTCGTGAGGACTCTACCCGTATTGGACGTGCAGGTACAGTTCGTCGCCAGGCTGTCGATGTGTCACCACTCAGGCGTGTCAATCTAGCCATCTGGCTGCTGTGCACCGGAGCTCGTGAGGCTGCATTCAGGAACATCAAGACAATTGCTGAGTGTCTCGCTGATGAGCTCATTAATGCTGCGAAGGTAGGTCATTGCTTTTCTCATCAAACCTCAACTGTTGACTCAGTTGACTCAATGTCTAGCGCTGCTGCCTGCACTTGTATCCATAAATGTCTGTTTTACATTCGAGGCTGTCCAAGTGATGCAGCTGCGTTGTGCTGTTTACAGCGTTACTGCAGTATTTGCACCTTTTGTCAGGGACAGTTGACTTCTTGTATATTTTGAAACCTATCCAATAAGTTACAAGGCTTTGCACAGATCTATTAGTGTTTCCACAGAGGACTTAATGCAGACATTGCCTCCTAACAAGAAGGTACCCTCTAAAGCAGAGTTGATATAACTAGGAACCAACGTTACTAGCCAGATTCTGTTTTAACAGATGTGCATGCAACACTTCTTAACCCCAGAAGTGGATGAACAGCCAGAACTTTCCTTTGGGGTGTAGATCACCTGCCAGCCCCCTTTCCTAATGCATCTGTAATGTCCTACAAATCTCATTTAACTTAGTTCTTCAGTCGGCCAGTCTTGTAGACGACGGCCTGTCTGTTCTTTTTGAGCACTCATAAGCATCTGTACCAACAGGAGTATTGCATGATGTTCCATAAAACTAAGCTGCTGGCATACTGCTGAAGATGAGTATGGATCGCTTATGGGAATGCCCTGAGTGCTGTGATGTCAGTTATTGAATCAAATCAACTATAAGACCATCACAAACTACTAGATACTGAGATAGTACATCCCGCCCTTATAGATGACGTTGCATTGTCTTTTGTGATAATGGAATTATCACAAGTACATAACTTCTGGTATTTGCGTGCATCACTGCTGATATCTCTTAATGACATTTGTAAAAAAAATTATTCAGGCAGTCAAATATGAATGTAATCTAGACATGATCTGTTGGCAGTCTGCCTGGGATGTCAGCCTACTGTGAAATTACCTGATGTCAGAGATTTACATTTGTGTTGACTGGTTGTATGTTATTCTACAGGGTTCATCCAACTCCCATGCCATTAAGAAGAAGGATGAGCTTGAGAGAGTTGCCAAGTCAAACAGATAAATCAGTCAGCTTCAAATGTTTTCCCTTTTGTTTTAATGCAAATGGGTAATAAATGTTCTGTTAAAGACCCGTTTTTTAGTTGTGTATATTTCTGTATTTACTGAAATGTTTTATAGTTCTGCTGCACTAACCACACATGGCCAGAATAGGGGAATCCACTCTTTTCTGAAAACTTTTCAAGGTTCTATAGTTTTAGTGCTTTGTCATTCGTCTAAAATTTGAGCAGGCGTTATGTGGCTGCTCTGAGCCAGCCTGATGGAAGGCATCACCTGCGAACTAGGAAATAAAGATGACCAATTATAGTCACACACACACACCCCCCCCCCCCCCCCCCCCCCCAACTGCCAACGGATTTTTTTTGTCTGCGCCACAATGCAAGCAGGCGTCAAATCTTACTGCCCAGAGACACAGAAAAATTACCCAAAGACCATGTTAACAAATCTCAGCCTGAACTTGGGACCTCTAGCACGCAAGGCAGACTCCATGAGTAGAGACCTCAGCCCCTTGAAGATAAAGTGCATAACATTTAGACTGGTATTTGTGAAAGTCTTGGAGAGGAAAGGCACAAAAATTACACAAGGTAAATAGCTGAGAACTTATTAACAGGGCAAGTAAAAGGATACATTTCTAGATGAGGCGCATGTGACAAAAGCACCAGCTAAACCTTGATTGTGCAGGGCGTAAATGACAGCCTATGCTTCTCATAGCATACATGGGGGGGGGGGGGGGGGTGAGCTTGGAGATGACATGGTTCAGTGTTAAGAGGTATTAGTGCATGGGGGTTCAGTGTTGAGAGGTAGGAGTGCATAGGGGTTCAGTGTTGAGAGGTAGGAGTGCATGGGGGTTCAGTGTTGAGAGGTAGGAATGCATAGGGGTTCAGTGTTGAGAGGTAGGAATGCATAGGGGTTCAGTGTTAAGAGGTCGGAGTGCATGGGGGTTCAGTGTTGAGAGGCATTAGTGCATGGGGGTTCAGTGTTGAGAGGCATTAGTGCATAGGGGTTCAGTGTTGAGAGGCATTAGTGCATGGGGGTTCAGTGTTGAGAGGTAGGAGTGCATAGGGGTTCAGTGTTGAGAGGTAGGAATGCATAGGGGTTCAGTGTTGAGAGGTAGGAATGCATAGGGGTTCAGTGTTGAGAGGTAGGAGTGCATAGGGGTTCAGTGTTGAGAGGTAGGAGTGCATAGGGGTTCAGTGTTGAGAGGTAGGAATGCATAGGGGTTCAGTGTTGAGAGGTAGGAATGCATAGGGGTTCAGTGTTGAGAGGCATTAGTGCATGGGGGTTCAGTGTTGAGAGGCATTAGTGCATGGGGGTTCAGTGTTGAGAGGTAGGAGTGCATGGGGTGGAGGCAGCAATTTGCTGACTAGACTTGAAATACAGTATGTGAAATTTCATGCTGCAATACAGACATCTCCGGTGGTTAGTGTCTGTGGGTGTGTCGAGAAACAAATTATCGGCCACATGAGCCTGTGCTGCACCGCTGGGCGGTGAACTGACAGCTGTGTCATGTGGTCACTTGGGAGCAAGCGGAATTGCAAACAGTTCATCAAGGTGGTTCCATCGGGATTGCAGCTTTTCACTGACTGCTAGATGACTGATCACTTATGGTGAAGTACCAAGTGCTATGATGTTGGTTTTTATCTTAATTCGTATTTACTTAGAAAATCATTTTGAGGGTCATGAGAAGCACACCAATCATTGAGTTGGAGGCAACTTGTGGCTCTGAGGGATTCACAAGACAACTCTGGCTCTGAGGGATTCACAAGACAACACGGAGAAAGAACTGACCTGCTAGCTAGTCAGACTTTAAAAAACACATTCTTCATTAGATTTCAGCTTTGAGGCATAGCAGATTGCTAAAAATGGAACAAGACACCTGTTTATTGTCATTACCAGAAATCAAATTAAAGAGAAATGCAAGGAATTGTGGAGAGAACAAAGACCTCCCATCAGCAGATATCACAGGGTCAGCAACCACACGCATAAGAAATAGATTGTAGTCGCCACAGAGCACCTGTCCGACAGGACCACAAACACCTGAACAAATTCTGCAGACCTGCCCACTCTACCTACAACTATGAAAAGATATGGCCTCAAGATCAGAGTGTGCAGAGCCAGCTAATGGGGAACCATGAAAGACCTGCTTCTGACATGCGAGTTTATAGAGGCAACCCACCTGATGGTCTGATGTGAGCATTGAAAACAAAACGCAAAGAACTTATTGTAACGTGTACCAAGTTTTTAGCTCAAAATAATTTTAATTAACTATAAATGTAAAGACAATCAAATTGAGAGACCGGGTCATTAAGCATAATGATAGGCGGAAAATGTCATTACCCAGAAGAAACATCTAAATACAAGGTGACTACAAAAATGCAGGAAATAATTATTCTCTTCCGCCTTGTACCTCATCGAAGTGTCGGGGAGAGATGTAATGTTCGTTGATGGGCTCTGTCAAGTGCAGTATTAGGACTGATGTTCATTTCTGTACGGCTGTTCTTAATGCCATAACTCCATATTTTTCGAGGTCTTCCACTCGCTATATACCTGTTGTAACGTTTTAGTGTGGCTCGCTGTGGCGGATAGTACCAGGGCATTCTTGTTAGGTGTCCAAACCACTTCATTTGTTGTTCTTTGATGACCTGTAAGACTGGCTTTATTCCTAGCATTCGTCAGATTTCATGATTTCATATTCTGTCATTCCTTGAAACTCCTGCAGCTCTTCTAAGGCATTTCATCTCTGTTGTCACAATTTTACGTTCATTGGAGGATGTAAGTGTCCACGTTTGGCATTGATAGCATAGTGTTGGCCAAAAAATAGTTCTGATAAGATTCATTTCAGTACTATCTGCTTGTGTGTCAACAGGGGAGATAGTTGACCCATTACTTGATTAGCTTTGGCACATCTGGAGCTAATTTCTCTGTCTAGTTTTCCGTCAGATGTAAAAATTGCTCCCAAATACTTAAATTCCTCTGTCTCAGGGTATTGTTTTTTAATTTAATTTCTGAATTGTCTTTCTGTCTTCCTATCATCATTGTCTCTGTCTTTGTAGTGTTTATTTTCATATTAAATTCCTCCCCTTTGTTACTAATTTGATTTAGGTGGTTCTGTAGGCATTCAGTATTTTCTGCTATGAGTACCTGGTTGTTGGCGAAAAGTAATTCTGTAATATCTTCTTCATGATTAAAGTTCATTTCTCTACATATGGTATCCATGTATGTTTGAAAAATAAGCGGCGATAGTTCACAGCCCTGACGCACACCAGAGTTCACTATAAAAGTTCTTGACAACCCTTCTTTGACAACCCTCATGCGGATATTATTGCAGGCATTTAATACGTTGTGTACAGGCGTTTGCAAAATATTAATGACTTGATTGCTGATTTCCTTTTCCCAAACATTCCCAACAACAATATTCCTGTTGACTATCGAAAGGCTTTGTATTTTTACTTGGTGTCTATGAATGTTAAACCAATACACGTCTATATGTTCTATTGCCCCTCTCTGATAGTTGTCTCAAGTATAATATGGGCACTCCTGTGCAAAACTTCGTTTCGTCAAAAGGCCCATCTTGTGCTATGAAAGTTGATACTCTATCAATGGTCTCGCCTTTTTTCAAATGATCTTAGCAGTACATTTCCCAGTGTGGACTGAGAAGTGAGATTCCTCTGGTAATTAGTACATTTCCTTACTTCCTTTATTTTCCAAACAGAGGGACAATGACAGCAGTTGCCATCGATGGGTTTTTGATTTCCCCTGCCCCCTGAAAATTTTTCTTTAAACCATACCCCCGGTTTTTCCTGCTGCCTTGATGGCCCAGCTGGTAGAAACCCAATCCGCCCT